TAATTTATTTTCCCAAACCACGTGGAGCCGCAGTTTAAGGACTAAAGAGCCGCAGGTTGCCGACTCCTGTCTTAGACAAAACAATACCCGAATAACTTAACTACTTTTTGTAGAAAAATAATGTTCTGGACATTTTCCAGTCTGATTTCAACAAATCGCACTCCACTGAAACCGCTTTACTTAAAGTGTATAGTGATGTTTTGATGGCAGCAGACTCTGGAGGGTACACAGTTCTGTTTATATTGGATCTCACCTCTGCTTTTGATACTGTTGATCACAGTATCATGATAAATAGGCTTAAGGACTTGGGATTACTGGTGTTCTTTTAAAATGGTTCATGTCGTATCTATCTGAGAGATCTTTTAGTGTCTGTATGAATCAAGTTTTGTCTGAAATATCAGCTCTGCCTTATGGGGTACCTCAGCAATCTGTTTTGGGTCTGATTCTCTATTTGCTTAATATACTCCCTCAAGGCCAAATTGTCAGACGTTATTTCTATTCATCTCTACGCTGGTGACATTCAGTTATACTGTTCTTTCAAAGCTTCTGAGTTTTATAAATTGTCTTGTTTAAATAATTGTCTGTCAGAAATCAAACAATGGCTAAACAACAACTTCCTTCTGTTACACTGGTTTGCAAAAGTATTCGGCCCCCTTGAACTTTCCCACGTTTTGTCACATTACAGCCACAAACATGAATCTATTTTATTGGAATTCCACGTGAAAGACCAACACAAAGTGGTGAACACATGAGAAGTGGAACGAAAAGTCATACATGATTCCAAACATTTTTCACAAATAAATAACTGCAAAGTGGAGTGTTAAATGTCACTTGAGAATCACTACAAACAACTGGTTCAGAACTGTTTTATGATCTAAGAAACATTTCCAAACTCAGACTACTGGTGTCAAAGGCGGAACTTGACATGATTATTCATGCTGCTTATCTCTTCTCGTTTGGATTACTATAACGGACCTTCGACTTGTTTCAACAAATCAGTTTTGGATCGCCTTCAACTGTTCAGAATGCTCAGGCAGGACTTTTAACTGACACTAGCAAGATATCGCACATTAAAACAAGGTAGTAGCTTCTCTTCATTGGTTGCTGTTAAATTTTAGGTTTCATTTTAATTTTTTTGTTTTAGATTTTAGGGCTCTGCATGATGAAGCCCCCCAGTATATCTCTGACCTGTTGAAACCTCATGCTTCTTCCCGAGCACGTAGGTCTTGGGGTCAGAGGTTGCTGTTGGTCTAACGTACTAGGTTCAAAACACATGGGGCTTTTGGGGCAGTGGCACAGAGGCTGTGGAATTCTCTTCCACTGTCTGTACACTGTGCAGCTTCTATTGACTCTTTTAAAAAGCAGCTGAAGATACAGTGGGGCAAAAAAGTATTTAGTCAGCCACCGATTGTGCAAGTTCCCCCACTTAAAATGATGACAGAGGTCAGTAATTTGCACCAGAGGTACACTT